CACATTTGGGCATGTTCTTGCTAGGATGAAAAGCTAATACACGCTGGCGTAAGAAACAAGGTAGTGGCTCAGCAGACGGAAGCACCAACTAACAGCACGCTCTGACAACACACACACACACATAACCAACTGCCCAGATAACATTATGACGTAACGGAACCCATGTGCACTGTTTCCAAGCTGGTTTGAAACGGCAAAACCTTTCTAAAACAGACATATGCAGAATGTCAATATGAAATGTCATTAAGTGTGCCTTTAGGGTACCTACAAGGAACTCCTGAAGTCAAGCAACAACTTGAAAATCTCCCAAACCCACAGAGAAGTTCCATCTCACTCATTTATTATTTCAATGAGTAGGATCAATTCTTGTTACCGCATGAATCATCATTGAAAATCTCGAAACTAAACAATAATCAAAGTATTTGAATATGTGACTGTAAGAAACTGGGGAGGCAGCCTCACCATTAAGGCTGAGGGAAGACTCAACGGGGTCCCAGGGACTCAAGACCAGCCTGGTGACTGGGTGACACCTTGTATCAAAACAGTGACTCTAAAAAACAAGCACCCAACCAAGGCTAGCAATGTGCTCCGTGCTCCTCTCTGGAAACATCTGTGTATCAGCAGAGGCAAGAGAACAACCTTGGTATCATCTTGAGATGGCACCACCTCTTTTAAGAAAATGTCTCTCAACTGACCCGAACTCACTAATTAAGCTAGGATGCCTGGCTAGCAGTGAGCCACACAGGTCCTCCTGTCTCTGCTTTCCCAATGCAGAGATTAAAGTGTGTCACAATGCCTAGCTTTCTTATGTGGATTCTGGGGGTTGAACACAGGTCCTCATGCTTGCAGTGGAGAAAGAGCCCACCACACTCCAACATGACCTCAGGCAAACTGCATCTTCAAACTCCCTTTGAATACAGCCACAGCCTAACTTCCACCTAACTGTTGGATGACACAACCGGTCTGTAGCAGATGCTAGGGTTTCAGTTTGGAAGAAATGACTTTCGAGTGATCAGATTTATTGATGCATGCAGAAAACACTGCCAGTCAGTGCCCATGTTCTAGTCTAATTTCAGACATGATTTTCTTTGAATCCTGCTCATGTAAGAAGTCTGACTTGGTGTTGGCAGACTGAGCTGTTTACAGTGACAGAGCTCTACAACAGTGAGTCTCAACCCCAAGGGGTCATATTGCAACAGTTATTTGGGAAATAACTGACAACTGCTTTATTATTAAGTTATTCAGTTCCATAAAGCACAAAGTAACCTATGTTCAACTAACAAAAGGTTGGTACATGTATTGAAATTCGTAACAGTAGCAAAATTAGTTATGAAGTAGCAACAAAAGTAATTGTATGGTGGGAGGGGTGGTCACCACAGCATGAGGAAGTGTGTTGAAGTGTCACAGCATTAGGAAGGTTGAGACCCACAGCTCCACAAAATCAAAGGTTTTCAAATGTTTCTTGCTGGGTGGAATGTTGTTGCTAGTGGCCTGGGCTCACGTGGGACATATTCTGAGCTTTATTTTCTGTGTCATTGCTTTACAATGGCTCTACTTCATAGAGATCTCCTCCCAAACTGAAAAATGTCCTGAGGATATAAGCAGCTTGGGTTGGGCTCAAATCAGCGAGTGGAAATAAAGACTTTGTCTCCACTGTAGACATGACTTGACCACCTGACCCTGGTTCCACCCCATTTCTCCACTCCCCTGCAGTCAACCTGTCACACACTATACTTCCCTTCACCTTGCTCCTGCCCACCAGCCTCTGTAGTTCTGACCTTGGCTACTGCCTGGAACTCACATCATTTACAATTTTCAAGTCATGACACCACTCTTTGCAAACAATTCACTTCTGTGCTTATCAGATACTGGCATTTACCTACAGCTTGTGGGGGGGGGGAGGGGTGGAGATCACACTTTTCACAATGTACAGTTCCCTTATGACACAAGTCTTTTTTTTCAAGATGTGTCCTCTCAATTACTTGCCCAATGAGATAATCCGCTCAGTCGGTATCTGTTTATTGTGGGTCAGACTTACGACTCATTGTTCCCTGAATGTACTGAGTTTAAAATACCTATCTTCTTATCTATAACTAACTCAGGGCAAGCAATCTGCCTCTGGGATAAGGTAATGATATGATACGATACACACTTATTCAAACAGGCAAAAATCAATAATTAATGATTTAAGACCAAATCTCTCAAACTTTCTGGGACAAGAAGGGAACTATTTGGCTGACTTTCTACTCCCCAGAGGTCTTGAGTTCAATTTCCAGCATGGATTTACAGCACAAATGTCTACAACTGTAGTCTCATGGAATCGGATACCCTCTTCTGATGTGCAGACAAACATGCAGACAAAATACCTATATACATAAACAAGTCTTTAAAAACAGGTACAAGTATAATCAATTCAAGACACATTTACTAAACGTGTGAAGTATTGTCTCTTATGGGCTGGAATCACCAATTCAATTGCAGTGGTCTACCTAGGAGCAGAGGACACAGGCTAAATGACAGGTAGGAGGGAGGGAAGACAGGACAAGGATGACTAGCTATACTACTTGAACACAACCTTCAGGTAGAAAAGTGGATGCTGGGGCTGAAGATGGCAGGTGTTAACAGTCCTTGCAAAGTATGTAGATTCAGTTCCTAGTACCCAGAATGATTCAAAGGTTCAGAAACCCTCATCTGAAGGCAATGTCCAAACATGCACAAGCGCGCGCTCTCTCTCTCTCTCTCTCCCTCCCTCCCTCCCTCCCTCTGTCTCTGTCTGTCTGTCTGTCTGTCTGTCTCTCTCTCTCTCTCTCACACTCACACTCACACACACACACACACACACACACACACACACACACATACATATACAGGAAAAATAAACCTGAAAAAAAGAAAAGAAGCTGCTGGGCCTTTGATCCAAGAACATTAGCAATATACTACAAGTCTTTATGCTTTTTGTTTGTTTCTCTGTATTGTTTTGGAGGCTGTCAGTCCAGCCTGGCCTCAAACTCACAGAGATCTGCCTGCCTCTGCCTCCCGAGTGCTGGGATTAAAGGCCTGCGCCACCACCGCCCAGCACTGCAAGTCTTATGTTACTATAACTTTGCAACAAAGTTTGGTAGTGGCCAAGAGCAGCCTGGGAACTCTAGGCAGGTGCTAAACACCCAGAAAGACCAGGGAACTGGAGGAGGATATGTTTTAAGGCTAGATTCACTAAGACTTCATAAGAAATGTGAGAGAGGATTCAGTGAAGTGTCAGATTCTTTGGGTAATAAGAACAGAAAACATTGCCATTAAATTACTACAGGAACGATGGGAATTTGCTTTTATTGGAGTAAGAGTAGAGACTTGAAGTTTTTTCATGTTGAGTTAAATATATGCAGGCATCCATACTCATGTTCTTGCCCAATGACACATATTCATCTACAGTGTCCTCAAAGGTAAGGTAGACATGACAAGGAACTTGCTATCCTGGATTTTCACTCTCCTTTCCCTAAGGAGAGTTACTGGTGTACCTTACTGGGTAAGGCACACAGGTTCTCCCATGTATGCGCCTTACATTAATCCAACAGTACTTTAAAAAAAAAAACAATCAAAAAATACTTGAAGGCAAGGCCGGAATAGAACAGTGCAGGCAGAAGTAGAGCACTGTGGTTCTGGTCTTCGCTACTCAACTGTACAACACTATCCTCTGACCTTTCAACTCAGCTCTTTTAATCCAGCTGCATGTTGTCTTTGTGTGAATGCACCAAGCACCAAGGGAAGGACTTTAACAGACGCATGCACACACATTCACAGCAGTCTAACCCAGTGGACAAAAGGCACACCTCTAAGGGAAGCAGAAACTATTTTAAGGACTGCGGAGACTGGCAAAGTAAAAGCAAGCTGCTGCATGTATCCAACCATCTACTGATGGAGTGCTGAGGGCTGCAACAGCAGCATGCTGATAGATGACTGAGGTGTTCTGTAGACAAGCAGGTTCCCTCCCTATCTGGAGTGAGATGGAGCAACAGCCCTTATGCTCATTTCCTTCTCTCCCCTGGTATCTTCAAGAATCACTTATTTCCACTGGGCAGTGGTGGTGCATGCCTTTAATCCCAGCACTTGTGAGGCAGAGGCAGGTGGATCTCTGAGTTTGAGGCCAGCCTGGTCTACAGAGAGAGTTCCAAGACAGCTTCCAAAGTTACAGAGAAACCCTGTTTTTTCTGAAAAACTAAAATAAAATAAATCACTCAGCTGAACAGTTGATATACTCAGAAAAACATCCAGGAATTCTCTATATTATACCCTTATTAACCATAACACTTATAAGTTAAGCAACTCAAAGTGCCAAGGACTCAATGTCTAATTCCCAAATCTCCCCCTCCCCTGCCACTTGTGTTTTTGTTTTACTTGGTTTTTTTTCTCCTTCCTCCAAGACAGAGTCTCACTATGTAGCCCGACTGTCCTGGAACTATGTAGACCAAGCTAACCTCAAACTCTGAGATCCACCTGTCTCTGCCTTATAAGTGCTGAGGTTAAAGGCATGCGGCACCACCGCCCAGTTTGCCCTGCCATTCTTTAGTAAGACTTACATTTTGTTCAGTTCCAGAGGCTGAGGCTAGGCAGGAGACAGTGATGAGCTACATCTCCAGCCCTTTCAAATTTTGGGGAGAAGATCTTAGTAAATTCCCAGTGTGTCCTGAATTATAAACGATAAACTTCTCAAGTGTTTGCAGAGTAGCTGGGATTACAGGCACGGGCATAACACGTGTCTAGGATAGGCTTCAATGAAACATACAGTACCCACACTGCTGAGTAATGACCACCTATGAATAAGGACCTTTAGTGATACCCTTCATGACATGCACTCATTCTGGAAATAGATGCTATTTGTTTCCATCATCTTTTAAACAGCAGGTTTCATATACAAGACCACTAACACAAAGTAAATTTTGCATTATTGTAAACTAAAAGAGAACTCTAGTACTTATCCAATTTAGTATTCAAGTATACGGGTGTGGGGAGAGCAAATGACAACGGCTTTATTATTAAAAGTTATTCAGTTCCATAAAGCACACAAAGTAACCTATATTCAACTAACAGAAGGCTGGTACATGTATTGAAAAATATATAACAAATTTGTCTGTCTTAACATTTACATTCTATTTAAAAAGTAGTTACATATTTTTGAAATTTGTATTTATAAAATATATATACCCACCCTATTCAAATCCTCAAACATGAGCTTCCATTCCTAATCAAATACACAATCTACATTGTGAACCAAATGAATTATGGCAGCAACAAAATGAACAAATTCAATTTGACCCAAATATGTACTTATTAGTTCTTGACTACTAGATAATTACACTCAAATAATTCTTTACTGTGTGCCTGGCAAATTACATTTATTTGAATATGCTGTTATTATGAAGAGACTTGCACCTTCTTGGCATCTGATAAAAATCTCAAAATGCCTTCAAAGTCCCCTTTCAGGCTTTAAGACAGTGGAGTTGTTCAGTCTTTCTGTAGACCAGAAACTATGACAAGTTATGTGTCACACAAAGTCCAGGAAGAGCTTTCGGTATGCTTTGTCTGAGAAAAAAACTAAATGACTGCACCAACTAGTCCTGAAAAGCCAGAGCGTGTGCCCAGAGAGAGCAAGACCCGACTCTCCCTGCCTGTCACCTCTTCACACGTGCAACAGAGATCCGAGGGATGGCGAGACTTTCGTCTGCTCGGGCCTTCCTTCCACACAATCAAAGCAGAGCAGCACCATTTTATCCACAATCTTATAGTCACTCAGAGACGAATAACCAAACATAAGTACCAAGAATAAATCGGAGACCTGAAATTACGACTATTAGCTCACTTACCAGATCACAGCACTGGCACAGAGCCAAGTCTGAAACATTCAGACTCTATGTGCCTCTGAAGAGAGTGATACCTAAAGTCCTGTCTTTGAGTTCATGAACAATTTATGCTGAGAAAAAAAGAAAAGTCACCCACAAATAATCTCAGCTAAATACCACATTTAAATGTAAGAACAACGTAATTGATGTGAGAAATAGTAAACTCTGGAAGAGTCCCTATCTAGAAGGAAACAAGTAGAAACCCTCCATGTCACTACTAAGAAATTCAACCACAGCTCACAGCTCATTTCTGTCAATTACTCGGTACACTTAGCAACCTGCTGATGAGATGAAGTTAGGTATTAAAAAAAAACTTTTATTTATACAAAGTTTTTTTAATTTCTTAAAAAGTTTCAGATGTAATTCTAACAATCTTTCTCCCCTAGATTCCCTAACTTTAAACAAAAACAAAAAGCTAACTTCTAAGTCAGAGAAGGAAACTGTGGAAGACAAGGAGATTCTGTGAGAAGAGGGTGAGGAGGTGACAAAGGAGGCCGCTAAGACTAAGGAGGACCACAGGGTGGGGCAGCTGCTGCAGCAGACACCTTCAGGACCACAACTATGGCAAGGCATCAGAGGTCCTGGAGACACACAACTGGAAGGCATGGTCTGCTGGGCTCTGGGGCTGGTGCAAACACAGCTCAGGGCCTCTCCAGGGCAGGGGCCACTGAGTGACACCTCAACCCTGCAGACTGATAATGAACCTTCAGAAAGGAACTTCCTGAAAACCTATTTATATGCATATACAATTAAACATAATTACAAACTTTAACCTTTCAACTAAGACATACAAAAAAAAAACTAATAAAAATGAGACATATAACCATGAAAGCTGAGACCTAGTGACACTGAATTTTTATTTAAAAAAAAAAAACCTTTGAATGCACAGTACCTCCACTTCTATTCTACTTCTAGGAAGTTTTAAATATCGCAATTCCCAAAAACAATAGGCTTTTAAAAGAAGACTTCATTACCAGAAACAGCATATTTATACACCATTTTCATACCACTAATCATTTCCATAACTGTCAATTTATCTTTGATGGAACAAACCAGTCACTAGATACCTCTTTTAGAATCTCAAGAAGTTACTAACCATTTAGGTAACTAATGACGTGTGTATTTGCATATATTTAAGATCAGAAGGAGAAAATAGTAAATCACTCTAGTTACTTTATACTTCATAACAGATACCTGTATTCCAACTCAAAGCAACAAGGATTATCATCCTTCTCCAGTTGAACTGTTGACTTCATATAAGCTGCCATCCCTTTCTTGATTTCTCCGCTGGCTAAAGGGATAATTACATATTATACACTCTTTAAAGGTAAATATTAACTCCTGGAGAGAACAGCTACAGAATGTATCTTTATAAAATTCTAACACAAAACTGAAAACAACCTTTCTCCATAAAACCCACAGCATTTATCTGTATTTATGAGGGCACCAAGTTCATAACTGCAAAAACAAGGAACTGAACGTATCACATCTTTAAAAAATTGGCAAAACAGAATGACCTAAAATAAATATGTGAGAGAAAGAGAAACAAACACAGCCCATAAGTGGTAAAACGTAATGTTGTAGACTAGTACTCAATGACAGGAATGCAGGGAGGAGGGAATGAATTCAGCATATTTCATGTAAATTTCTTGTAATTCTATTTCAATATTATGTTACAGCAAAATATCTCTTACTGAAAGTCACAACTTGCCCTCAACTGAAAAATGACCCAGATATACAACTTATGTCTTTTAATAATGTCAATAATTAAATATAAGTGTAAGAATTTTCAATGACTCCTAAATTCAAGGGAGTAATGTTAATCTGATTATGAATTATTAACAGTTGATGTTCCTATGTCTTATATATATATATTCTTATTTTCTTCACTTGGAATCAAAAGCGAACTAAAATTACTAGGTTTTCCGCTATTTCCCCCCATTTCATTTGAATCTATTTTATAGTATCTGTATATACACAGGTAATATTAAAACACTTATAAAAACACAACCGAAGCTATTCCTCTACACTATAGCACTGTGATGCCTGACCTGGTGTACTGATTCCTTTGGTGAATAAATGTCACAGGTCACTTCTTAAGAAAGGATTTTAGTAAGAGGACTACACACAGAGAAGTCCCTGTGCCACCCCACCCCACTCTGAAAAAAGATCACGTTAATTAGTATTTTAGAGCAGTGACATAAAACACGGGAACACCTAATTTACAGCTGCAATTTCATATCGGAAGCAGTGAAAAACTAAGAATTTAAAGATTTTTTGTGTTAAATAGGTCAACTAATAAAACTAACAATGATCACTGTGAGAACTTGTGTACATCCAGTCAAGACAGAAGAGAAATGCTTATAATCTTTAAAAAATGATCATTGCTACCTAGCAGTATAAACAGTGTCCACAATTTGGTGGCTGGCCATGGTTTTAATTTTTTTTCAAGTTATTTCTACAGCAGACATATTTTTGAAGTCTACCCACCCCTGAGTTCAGCAGTTATACTTTTAGAGTGTAAAATTATATGCCCTTAATTAACAACAGGTACAAAGCTACAAAAATGTCATCTACACAGAGATTAAAAACAATTTTTAAAATATTCTTTACCAATTATCAATTGGACGAATTTATGGGGGTACATATATCAGACCTTTCAGCCAATTGGCTTTAATTTTTAAGCCCAAATTGATTAATATATATTCACTGCAGGATATTCAAAAAGAGTGCAACAGTAAGGCATTAGTAAAAATAACATTGTCATAGAAACAGATCTTGCATATGTGAAAAGGTAATTTATAAAATACATTAATTGCTTCTTAAAAAGACCTAGTTGTAGCATCATTAACTTACATGGTACATGGTACTTAGAATGGAACCTTTCCAACAACTGTTTTATAGATTAGATAGACAGACAGACAGACAGGTACAGACAGATAGAAAAACCTCATCTAGCTATAAGCAAAATCTTTTCAACAAAGAAAACAAGTTCTTCCAAGAAAACCTGCATGGTTGCGTGAGACAAATAAGCAAACATATCATTTTATAGTGTTCTTTTGCCAAAATCTTAAAATAAAAATGTCCACACTCTTTTGTTAAAACATTAAGCCTCTGTCAAAAATGTATTTCTCATTTTAGGGTACAGGATTGAAGGACAAGATGATACAAGTAAAGAAAATTTACAAGAAAAAAACTTGACAAAAGTCTTTCAATTAAAGTATTGTAACATTCAAACAACTTAAAATGTAACAAAAGAAACAAGATTACAAACAAAAATGTTTATGGATTTCCAAACATAAATAAATGAAATAGTGTTTAGGCAGTAGGGCTCATGCTGATGGCTAGCAGGAAGTAACAGAGTGTAATATACTTGGGAAAAAAATAACAGGCCCAAATGATGAGTGGCAGTAATTCAAGCATCACTGCCATACTTTTACTTCCAAAATAAAGCCTTGGTTAAACCATTCACACCCTATATTATTCACACCTGTACTTCAGAGATTGAGGACTATATACAACAAATGAACTGATTTTCACCATAGGGATAACATATTGTACCTCTCTGCCAATGTTCCTTGAAAACTTTCCATGTCAAAACAATTTGACAGCAGATATAAACAATTAAATAAATATGCAATGATCTTTCTTACGGTCCTGTAAAGATGCATGTTATTTCATGCTGTTTGCCTTAGGATCACAGTGCATAGAATCCAAATATAAACAGTTGGGGTGACTTTCAATGTAATGTTGGATCCCTCACTGTCCTTATAATCCCACGATAACCGAAAAATTCATCTCATAGGCCCTATCATGCATTAATCACCGAGTGGCAGGAGTTAAGAAAACTCTTCCTGTTACAACGTCCATTGCCGGCAATGAACATCCCCAAACCACCGAGGAAGTCACTGTTATTGCACAATACATGAGGACCTGGAACTTTTCCAAAGCTTAAAAAAATAAAAATAAAAAATGGAATTATATTTGACATTTCCTGACACCTGCATTAATACTGTATGACTAATAAAAGCATGTCAGTTGCCTGGACAGAGCCAGCGATCAACATGCGCCCAGAATGCACACGAGTAAAAATGCAGTAAAAGGAAGTAGTCTTCATTGCCTATAGGTCACTTCCAGTCAAAGGTTAAAGTTCAAAGACTGAATGATCAAAGTGCTCATTTTCTCAGTAGGACTATCTTCTGCTACGAGGATGATAACAGTGGCATCAACAAGTATCATCTTTAAGAAAAGGAGAAAAAAGAGAATTAAAAAGTTAAGCATGTATAAGTAAGTAATCTACAAGTTAATCTCATGTAGAAATAATGGCAAGTAGCAAGAATATGACTGATCTTACTTGCCTTTCTCAGTTGTTACAGAAAACATTTGTGTTCAATCACATAGCAACAGGCAAACCAACCTTTATTCTTTCAAGGAAATGAGACTTTGTAAAAACTTTAAAATACATGATTAGTATATTAGTTCAATTTAAAACAAGAAATTGATAGGATAAAGCAGCACATATTTAGGACACATCATAAAAGAGTTTGTCTAAAAGAAATACTTAAACAGTCATGCCATTTTATACAAAATAATATATCATGTTTTTAGTCTGAGGCAACTCTCCAACAATGAGATACAACTTTCAAATCAATCAGTATACATTTAATGCTGTTAATGTCCCTTGAGAAAACGAATTTTCAGAAAGTACATATACATGTGCAAGGACATTTAAAACCCTAGAGAATTATTCTGTAATCCCTTCTGGTGGCCTCAGTATATTATATTTAGCTAGCACATAACTGTAGGGTCCATGACTTATTTCACAAAACTTATTTAATAAAAATGTATCCAAAGGATTTGAGGACTAGTTACTTTCTTTAAGAAAGAAGCTTACTAGTGACAACTAAGAGCTGTGAAAGCCTATAAAGGAAAAACTGAAAACAACTGACCAAATGTTTCATGTCAAGGATGATGTGGTGGTAATAAAATTTCAACTGATAAAGACCAAATCATGTCCGTTGTGGTAGGGGAATTCATGGATTGTATACATGGTGTAATAAACTAGATTTTAAAAATAAATCATGGGTTGGTGATATAGGTCAGTCACATAGTATTTTCCTAATCCTAGGTAATTTAATGTCATAATCAATGATATAACAATTTTTTGTTTGTTTTTTCGAAACAGGGTTTCTCTGTATTGTTTTGGAGGCTGTCCTGGAACTCACTCTGTAGACCAGGCTGGCCTCAAACTCACAGAGATCCGCCTGCCCCTGCCTCCTGAGTGCTGGGATTAAAGGCATGCGCCACCAATGCCCGGCTTAATGATATAACAATTTAATGATAATATAAAAAAGCATGTATACAGCCCTAGGCTCAATTCCCATCACCAGCAATAGACAAAGAGCTACATGGCAAGACCATCTATCAAAACAAGACAAAGGGAGCTGGAGATATGGCTCAGAGGTCAAGTGCTCTTGTAGTGGATCAGAGTTCTATCCACGGCACCCACACTGGGCAGCTCACAACTTAGGTAATATGAGCTCCAAGGGACCAGGTGCCCTTTCTGACCTTTGAGAACTTGAACCACACACGCACACGCACACACAAAATATGACAATTTTTTGAGACAGGGCTCATACAGTCCAAGTAGGTTTCAACTTTGCTGAGTAGCCGGGGCTAGCTTTGAAATCATCTTCCTGCCTCCAGATTTTAAATGCTAAGATTAAAGACATGTGCTAGCTGGCATGACTAAACCCTCCAATGAAAAAGATATATCGAAGACAAAAGCAGATGAAGAATTTATATCTTTTATATTTCATATCAAAGTACCTATTTCTGTGGATTTGGAAAGAAGATATATTTGTTATGAATGTAAACCAAACAGAAATATGAAGAAGTTTCTCAAATAAGGTAATGTTTTAGTTTTGTGCACAGGTGTGTTTTTGGGTTATTTTGTTTTTTCTTAATGTGTGTGTCAGGGTTAGATTTTTGTGTGTATATGTTTGAGGTATGATTTTGGTGTGTGTGTGTGTGTGTGTGTGTGTGTGTGTGTGTGTGTGTGTGTGTGTGTGTGTGTGTGTGTGGTTTTTTAGATGGGCCCTTATTAACTGTCCAGACTGGCCTTAAGCTTACAATCTGCCCACACTGGCCTCTGAAGTAGATAGGATTATAGGAATGCCAGCTCAATAAAGTACTTTACTGAGATAAACACCACACCTCACCAAACCTAAATCTCTAAGCTACAGTGTGATGAATTCTAACTAATATGCCACAGCATTGAGACAAACTTTAGAATGAAGCAGACGACAATACATACAGCAAGAAAGTGACTAAATTCAATCAAGCATGCTATTTAGTAAAGTAGTTTGTATCTCTAAAGACATACCGTATGCTTTAGATGGCAGCACAAATTTACCTTTATTAATGGTTGTTCGTTCTGTAAAGTTCTCAGCATAGTAGACTTCTGTAGAATGTGCTACTAAAATGGTTATAAAATCCCTAAAGCTATTCTCTATCTCCCAATCTCTATCTTAGATCAAATGTTCAAATACTTTAGGTCTGATATGGTGCTACCTGCCATCTAAGCTTTGCGGAAATGAAGTAAGTTCTTAAGTTGGAATTGAATGATCTCTAATAGCATGACTCCCAGGGACTTCAAAGGTTATAATTCCTCAATAAATATACATAATGAAGTTTGCAAATAAACTAGTATAAGCATGGGTATGAGTCAAACCTGTAACCCTGCTTTCCCATAACTAAGAGGCCAAGCCAAACAACCAAACAAAAAACCTTCAAGGAATATAGTTTTCTAGTTATATGCAAAGATTATTTACTAGATATCAATCAAGATGGACACACACACAGGAACAATGGAGTAAAGCCTATTTTGGGTCAAGACAAATATACGACTATAAAAGGTTGCCTCTCAGCTAGAATACCTGTGGCAATATAATACCTTGAAAAAAAAATCTCATAGTGGTTTCAGTACTCTCTGAACTACCAGAGCCTCTACTGAAATCACATTCACTGACTTATGGAATTGTGAGAACTTGAGAAGGGAGAAGGGTCACTGCATTTCCCCCACAAATATGATTCCCATTACACTGGAAACCCATCTCCCGAATATCACTAAGGACACAAGACTAGAAGAAAAACACAGCAAACAGACAAAATATTTTTATCTCCTAAGAATTTAGGGAATTAGTGTTCCTTTGACAAATGGAGTCAAGAAAGTCTTTAGATCAAGTAACAGAACTGTCACCCATGAGGAGGGACAGGGACTGCTAAACCATTCAAGTTCTACATTCAGGGATTTAGTTATTTTGTAGCCTTAAAAGGTAAAACAAGGGCTGGTGAGATGGAGGTTAAGAGCACTGGCTGCTTTTCCAGAGGTCCTGAGTTCAAATCCCAGCAAATGCAGGGTGGTGAACCACCATCTACAACGGAATCTGATGCCCTCCTCTGGAATAAAGTTGTACATGGAGATAGAGCACTCATATTCATAAAACAAATCTTTTTAAAAAGGTAAAACAAAATTTTTAAAGTTCACAATTAGTATAAATTTATGGTTTTATTTTTGAGGCATTTGAACTGGAGATACAGAAAATGAGGGATTGATCTGTCTCCACCTCCTGAAGGCTGGATGACACGTGTGTGTCACCACTCCAAGCACTTATGTGATGTTGCAGATGGACAGCGGGGCTTCTCACATGCTAGGCAAGCACTCTATTGACTGAGCTACATCCCTGACCCAAAGAGTTCAATGAATCTAAGACAATTTTATGTACATGCCCAGTCTCTTACAATCTTCTTAATGCCCCCCCCAAAAAACACCAAAAGCTGGTGTTGGTGGCGCATGCCTTTAATCCCAGCACTTGGGAGGCAGAGGCAGGCGGATCTCTATGAGTTCGAGGCCAGCCTGGACTACAGAGTGAGTTCCAGGACAGCCTCCAAAACAATACAGAGAAACCCTGTCTTGGAAAAAAAAAAAACCAAACAAAAACAGAAAATCTTAATTCTACAGGAATGCTCCCAGCTGGACAGAACTAGAATGTAGCCCATGGTTCTAAAGAAAAGATTCCTCAATTTCTTCCCATATTAGAGTCACCTATTTTTTTAAAGATTTATTTATAGTGTTCTGTTGTCATGCAAGCCTTCAGGTCAGAAGAGGGTACCAGACCGCATTACAGATGGTTGTGAGACACCATATGGTTGCTGGGAACTGAACTCAGGACCTTCAGAAGAGCAGCCAGTGCTCACAACCACTGAACTACCTCTCCAGCCCCTCATCCATTTGTTAAGTATGCTATCTAAATACTATACTGTCTCATTTATTGCCTGTAAACCTATGTTTCTGATGCAAACACTTAAGTGTGAGCTTAACCTAATGTCTAACTGACCACATCACCATATCACTTCAACAATCAAGGGTCTGTACTCACCTCTGGAAAAATACTGCCTATGAAAGATGAAAATTTTAATACTGATTCTAGTAAACAAGTCCTATTATTAATGGATTCTGGTTGCCCACTTCATTGTAATTCTTTCACTTTTATAATACAAAATGATACTTTGTACGTTTGCGATGGATAATTTTTTGAGGGGGCCTGGTTGACAATAAAAGACTCTGGAGTCTAGTGGTGCAGTCATGAGCATAAGGCAGCTGTGACTGTCTGCAAAGATCTGCACAAAATCAAGTCAGTGACCATTCTGCTCATAAGCTCCCACATGACTAAGGAACTACTGACAACTGATAGCTTGTATGGGAGAGAATCTGTTTAGTTAATAGTGAGGCACCTGGAAGGACCACCATGCTCCAGCAGCTGGCCTCACCCATGAGGATATGAGTGTCCCAAAATGGAATCAGTAGTGTATGCTTAAAGGGGGAGGGGTATATGGTGGGGAGGGGCATAAGGTTGGGTGGGGGTAGACCAGAGATGGGGGTTAGGGGAGAAGTGGGATGTGAATGTGATAAAAATACGTTGTATGAAATTCTCAAAGAAAATTTTTATTAAAAAAGAAACAAGTATGGGTTCTAAATCATTTATTCATCTTTTCAAAGATATAAATCTATATAAGGAAGATTACGCAACTGAACCATGGCAAATTCCCAAACCCATTTGCATGCCCAAGTGAATCATCTATTTCACAAACCTATTTTGATTAAGCCTTAAGTTTCTGGCCCTAATTGTCTCAGTTCAATTTATTTTTCAGAGCAGATGAACCCATGTGTTAACTAG